ATTGTAGGCCAGATGAGACATTCCTCCTTACATTGTTGGTCAGTTGAGATTTTCCCCCCCTACATTGATGGTCAGATGAGGCATGCCTCCTTACATTGTTGGTCAGTTGAGATGTTCCCCCCCTACATTGATGGTCAGATGAGACATGCCTCCTTACATTGTTGGTCAGTTGAGGTGTTTCCCCCCCTACATTGATGGTCAGATGAGACATGCCTCCTTACATTGATGGTCAGACAGAGGGAAGAATGCTCCGTACATTAGTGATTAATGGGACAAATCCGACACCCCCCTACACACAGCCAAAACTATCATTGGTGTCAGTGGTAACTTCTGGAAGAGCTCACGGAACCCCCAGCAACCCCTGGAAGACCCCAGACTGAGAATTCCAGCACACATTATACAGTACAGGACTGTCATTGTCCCACAACATCGGAGCCTCATAAGGACATTTCAGCACACGTGTGTACACCTCTCCGTGCGGGTGATGGAAATTCCCCGTTACATAGACGGACCCCCGAGTCCCACTCTGGGCGGGCCAGACATCACCCCAGCATGCTGTACACACACAGTACACATTCATCTCACTGCACAGACCATCACATATACCAGCTCCTCGGAGAAGGGGCTCTCCGGACTCACCCTGATCCTGGATGGACACGTCTGGGGTACAGCGCTCACTCAGCTCGTCCTCATGTCTGCCTGTCCTCTGTGCACACCGGGGAGGGATGCTGCCTGTGTCCCGGCTGCTGCCTCCAGCCTTTCCTTCCTCTCTCCTGCAGCACAAGAATGTCATTTATATCCATCCTTATGGCAGATGATGAGAAGCTGATGCCAGGCTGGGAGTTCTGCCACTTAAAGTCACTTTACACCCAATGGAATGAACTTACCATGGACCCACACCTAAAGCAGAACTCTGGGGGAAAGAAATCTTAACCCTCGCAGTGCGGCTTTAATAACTTAAGAGAAGAACTCCGGGGAAAATAATTCGTAATCCTTGCAGTGGAGCTACCCCTGCAGTGCGAGGGTTAAGTGCTCATTTTTGTCTAGGTTCAAAAATAACAAAGTTATACTCACCTGATCCTCGGATCCAACTTGCTCATAGACGGGTCCTTGCAGCCTCGCTCCCCCTCCAATGCAGCAGTCTAAGGTCCCCGAGTCATCGTGTTCTACACACTGTACAGTGAGGACGCTGAGGGACGTAACTTTTTTTTTTTAACCTAGACACAAACAATCACTTAAAGTGACATTAAAGGCAATTTATTTCCCCCTCACCCCAACGTTAAGTAAAACACTTTCCTTGAATGATGTCTTTTAATCCGATCTTCTTCTTTCCTGTCCTTTTCAGCCTTCTCTCCAGTGCTGCGGCGAGTATCAGATCCAGCGCTGACTCCTTTGTCCTTGCTGGCACTTCCTGTCCCACGGTGTCTGCATGCGGGTGCACGCCTCCATATACTTACCTTGTGTCTCTCCTCATGTCCCGGCCGAAAATGTCAACTGCGCCCGCCCCAAGCTTTGCGGCCGCCCGAGCAGTTTCACATTTTCGGACGGGAGCGTGCGGGGAAGACACAGGCAAGTTTAAACCGCTGTTAAAGCGTTTTGGTTGTTTTAAAAAACGTTTTGCATATGTCTACTGCTTGCTAGCCGTAGATATATGCAAAAAAAGCTGAGGCTTTAATAACCCTTTAACCCTTGCAGTGCAGGGGTAGCCTCACTGCGAGGGTGAATAATTATTTTCCCCGGAGTTCTTCTTTAAAGCCGCACTGCGAGGGTGAAGAATTATTTTCCCGGAGTTCTTATTAAAGCCGCACTGCGAGGGTGAAGAATTATTTTCCCGGAGTTCTTATTAAAGCCGCACTGCAACGGTTAAAAATTATTTTCCCCAGAGTTCTTCTTTAAAGCAGCACTGCGAGGGTTATTAATTATTTTCCCCGGAGTTCTTCTTTAAAGCCGCATTGCGAGGGTGAAGAATTATTTTCCCCAGATTTCTTCTTTAAAACCGCACTGCGAGGGTTAAAAATTATTTTCCCCGGAGCTCTTCTTTAAAGCCGCATTGCGAGGGTGAAGAATTATTTTCCCCAGATTTCTTCTTTAAAACCGCACTGCGAGGGTTAAAAATTATTTTCCCCGGAGCTCTTCTTTAAAGCCGCATTGCGAGGGTGAAGAATTATTTTCCCCGGATTTCTTCTTTAAAACCGCACTGCGAGGGTTAAAAATTATTTTCCCCGGAGTTCTTCTTTAAAGCCGCATTGCGAGGGTGAAGAATTATTTTCCCCAGATTTCTTCTTTAAAACCGCACTGCGAGGGTTAAAAATTATTTTCCCCGGAGCTCTTCTTTAAAGCCGCATTGCGAGGGTGAAGAATTATTTTCCCCGGATTTCTTCTTTAAAACCGCACTGCGAGGGTTAAAAATTATTTTCCCCGGATTTCTTCTTTAAAACCGCACTGCGAGGGCGAATAATTATTTTCCCCGGAGTTCTTCTTTAAAGCCGCACTGCGAGGGCGAATAATTATTTTCCCCGGAGTTCTTCTTTAAAGCCGCACTGCGAGGGCGAATAATTATTTTCCCCGGAGTTCTTCTTTAAAGCCGCACTGCGAGGGCGAATAATTATTTTCCCCGGAGTTCTTCTTTAAAGCCGCACTGCGAGGGCGAATAATTATTTTCCCCGGAGTTCTTCTTTAAAGCCGCATTGCGGGGGCGAAGAATGATTTTTCCCCGGAGTTCTACTTTAAACAAGTAATAAACGCTCAGGTTATTATACATTAATATACATTGGCCAGCAAAGTATTTGTCTACATTGCTCAAGCCATTACAGTCATCATGTTTCTGAACAGCTCCAACTCCCTCAGCTCCACTTCCCTGAACTTCCTGTCCAGTACAAGACCACCAGGGATAGCCCGGTGCCCAGCAGCCGTCCATCTACTGGCTCGGAGAAGGGAGAAGGAAGGAGCAGGGAAGTGGATTGCCTTGCTGTGTCTGCGTGTTTGTGGAGATACACAACTTACTAGTACACACAAGGGTGACTCCATCAGAGCCTGCAAGGGAAAGGAGTCACCCTAAAACAGGAGAGCAGGGCCAGTGCTCAGGGGAGCAGATGATTCTGCAGGAAGCTAAGACTTTGGAACATCAAGGAGCAGCATCCATTGTAAGTGATTTCATCAGCATTTGAAACAGCTAAAAAAAACCTTTGCCTTTAATATCACTATAAAGGGCATCAAAAACGAAAACTCAATCTGTATTTCTATATTGAATTTCCATTTCTTCTATCACACTCCCAATATCCATATCCATCTGGAAGTGTGTAAACGTACTTATGGCAGATGCCCATAGGATGCACATCCTTAATGCACTGACACCATTTCACTCAGCTCGGTGAATATGCACTTCTTTGTGTCACAACTCCTTCAAATCCTGCCTTCTGCATGACAGCTCAACAATGTGACATTATCATTGCTTGGTGGAAGCAATGCATGATGGGATATGTAGCCTTGAGAAATGGAGATTGTATCCCCTCAAGCAGCAATGATAGAGATGCAAAGCACACTGGGAATCCAGGAGGTTGATGACAGTGATGGACAGACAGAAGGCAGCGCTCACTATATAAAAGGGATTTTTTTAATGTAAGCTTTGACTACATTATTATAAAATTCTCCAGTATGTATTCCTATCACAGTGCTTATGTTATAACAGGGTGGCATATCCTGGGGCTATTGTATTCTGACAGCCTGCACCCTCTGCTGTCATCAGAGCCGTAGCGAGCTCCTTTTGCGCCCGAGGCAAGAATGGAAAATTGTGCCCCCCCAACAGACGTGTGCGGTATGCGACGCCATGCGCCCCCCCCCCCCCCCCCCCC